GGGTTCGAATCCCGAATTATGTTTCTAGTTTTGTTACCACCATACCTGCTCATGGGTTTCACCAAAATGGTAAGCGTCTAATACCTGGATCACTTCGGGCTTTCCTCCCACATTAAGCTGACAAGCCGTGATATGACTGGAATACTGTTAAAAGCGGCGTTAAACCCAACTCACTCACTCCTTTCTTTGAGATACCATAACGGTAAGTGTCAAACAAAGAGAGACGACGATAGAATGATTAGTCTTACAACTGCAACAAATCCTTTTAAGGCGTATGAACATGAATTGCTTATAAGGGTGAGCAACAATTTCTTCAAAGACAGCATATTATCTTTGAATACTGGGACTTTATATTGATTATGTCTATTTAACGGTCATTCATTCCTGCAATGGTTTGTGAAAAGTAGGCTGTGGCTTGGTAATTAAGTGTCAACATTAATAGGTTCCATGAAGACTGAGGTGAGAAATTTGGACTGTCTCCCTGGTCTAGAGGATAGAGTGTCTGCCCGGATCGTGGGTTTGATCCCCGATCACGTCATACCAAAAGACTTTAAAAGATGGTACTCGTTGTTACCTTGCCTGGCGCTCGGCTTTAATGGGCCGAAACAAGGACTGGTCGGCTCGGAGTCTTAATGGGGTCATTCCTGTTATATTCGGGTATGGTATCTCAGTGAGCTAGCACTATCAAATCGGCATCAGTCCAGACTAATACAAATAGACACACACACGTGCATGTACGTCGCTATATATGTGCAACAATTTTAAACGCAACTTCAAACCCCATTTCACCTCACCATACCATGTTTAAAATGTTGTAAATTTGTGCCGAAAAAAACAAGTTTATTGATTTTCAAAGATAAGATGTCTAAGATTTGTATTATGCGAACTATTTTTTCATATTATTTTTTAAATCTTAAATCAAATTATTTTTTTGAGTGCTGACTTAGCGTCAGTACAGTTCATTATGTGGTATATAAAATCGCTAACTGATATTTGCAATTGAAAATAAAACATATAACATCAACTGAAAGATATTATAGTTTCTTTTGTCCCACAGTTTCCTCTAGATACGGTTAGCGTTATGGGAGATATTTAATGTCCGTAATAGATCCTCATCGTGGCAATTGTGCAGGCAGACACGGAGAATGCGACCGATGTGACTTTGCTGTGGAACACTTCCAATTATCATTGGGGATATTTGTCAAGTTGATGTATAGCAAGTGCAGTGCTTACATGTACAGAAACGTAATTCCAAAACAGATTTACTGCTTTAAGGTTATTTGTTCCAAGTTAATGCGGGATGGTTGTTTTTATGGAAGGTAATTATATTCTGATTCTGCACACATCATACCAGACTAGACAAGCAAACAATCGGAATGCAACAACAAAAGTGATAGAGGTTGGTCTCTGGTTCCAGAGAATTGCTGTTCAGAACATACAAGACAACAGTGAAAAATCTCGGATTTTTATTTTACTTTTTTCAAATTCGTCTGGAACACTAAGACAGTTTCCAGTCTGACATTATAGTATTATTATATTTTTGTAAGCGTAACATAAAGCACAGATTTGCTATTATATTACGCATATACTCTTTCATACTTTTTATGAATGGAAAAGATAACAGACATTTATTGTACAGTGGGTTGTGATAGGAGTAACGCAGAGGTACAGCATTGTACATCTCTGTGGTACTTTTCCGTGTATCAAAACGATCCGTGTTACCCAATTTTCTGTGTAAGAAGGTATTATACACATTTTCACTGAATCATGTAAAGTGTTGACCCGAAGTCGTATATTCTCCGTTAAACCATAAAAATATCGATACACTCAAAACATGTTAATAAGACAGGTGTCCGGGAAACATCCAGGAACTCAACAGAACTGATGTTTGAACCATAGACAATGTACCGTTATGTGGTCTCTGTTTGAACATACAGTAAAGTACGGTTATAACGAACCCAAAGGGACCACTAATTTTAGTTCGTAACAACCGTAGTTCATTATAAGCATATGTACAGCATATATACAACAATTGGCCGGGACTAATAATGAGTTTGTTATATCGGTCAGTTCGTTATAAGCGTGTTCGTTATTAACGTAGTTTACTGTTTAACTAAAACTGAAATAAATTGCACGAACCTTGAAGTATGTTCCCAGCTGGTCATCAATATGTGCGCCGTAGCAACGGTTCTGATCATTTGTCAGAGTAATGGTTTCGGGCTAGGTTGCTTTCTAAGATGTCCGCGCTGACGTCACCCAGTTTCCGAGAAGCTGAGTGGGCCACTAACATCCGTGGTGAGCAGTGACGAGTTGCAGCACGTGTAACGGATACCACTTGTTATGTAAACAAGGTGTTGTTGTGATACAAGGTAGCTTTAACCCCAGAGAGTCCGGGAACAATCACGACACAGCGGTTGGTCAGACGGTGCTGATAAAAGCGTGAGCGAGATACCGGGAATCTGAATGGAATCTGAATGGAGTCTGAAAGGAATCTGAAAGGAATCTGAATGGAATCTGAAAGGAATTTGAAAGGAATCTGAATGGAATCTGAATGGAATCTGAACGGAATCTGAATGGATTCTGAAAGGAATCTGAATGGAATCTGGAAGTGTCCCTGATGCAGGAAGACGAATGCAACACATCATCCCTTATATGATCTTTGTAATAAAGGTGACAAAACTATTTCCTAAAACTAAGTAGAGTACATTGTGCGATTCCCATTGTGTCACAAGCGAGTGTCACTATCGAATAGTCATGATACCGATGGCATCTGTCTCAGACTCCATCTCAGATTCCAAACCCTCTTATTATAAAGTAAACTACGGTTATAACGAACTCCTATGGACCACTCATTTTAGTTCGTAATAACCGTAGTTCGTTATAAGCATATGTACAGCATATATACAACAAATGGCCGGGCTAAAAAATATGTTTGTTATAACTGTCAGTTCGTTATAAGCGAAGTTCTTTACAGATGATTTTTTTTCTCCCTGCAGTGTTTTATTGTACAATAAACAACGACCACGAGTCGTGTATTTTCATATATGAGATATCAATATCATGTAACGATGTTATTTAAAAGTAAAAGCTTTATCAAGCAAGTTATCATCATGTGCTTGATAACGCGGTGTTAGAACCTACACCGAAACGTCGCTCTTAATTGTAATAAAGAAGTTGTTCATCCATAAATTCTTATCCTTACTTAGTACTCCAACTTCTAAATACCTATCAAAGAAGTAAATATGAAGGCAAGTAGGATACAGTGCGGCTGGTTGTTGATAACATGTCAGACGCAACGGAAGTTAATAAGTAGCATCTGAATCACCCGCCCTTACATGTACAAACTGTGTTGCGCTGATACAATCTTAGATACACAATGTAATATGACGAGCTACTCATAATGAAAGTTGACCCTTGAAAATCCGTTGTTAGAATAGGTCTTCGGCAACCCATGCTTGCCGTAAAAGGCGATTGTTCTTGTTGTAAGAGACGACTAACGGGATCGGGTGGTTAGGCTCGCTGATGGTTTATGCATGTCATCGTATCCCAATTGCGTGGATCGATGTTCATGATGTCAATCAGTGGATTGTCTGGCACAGACTCGATATTTACAGACCGCCGTCATATAGCTGGAAAACAACTAACAATCAAACAAACAAACATAATGACAGTTAGAGTTTAGTGACATAAAAATCAAACGTGATTCATGTAAATGATCTTGGAATAAAATAATAGCTGCTTAATTAGTCATACATCTCAAACCTAAACTTAAAAGTATCGCAATTATCGCTGTTTACAGAGGTTATATGGAGTCCAGTGATCATGTCTATTCACGTGTCAAACAGGAAGCACACAATAACTGTTTATACTAATATGCTCATTTAAGCTTTTTGGGATATACTTGGATAAGATAGGAACTGCAACAATAGCAATAGATTTGCTTATTACCGGCGAACAATTTGCTTGCCTTTGCATGTGTTTGTGACAGGTGCCACCGGTGGGTAGTATACGCTACCATTTCGCGAACACTTGGTACATCACCATTTAATGGTATTGTCGTAATTGTACAATGGACTCTGCTTTCATTTCTTATTAATAAGGAAACGGTTTTGTCGCTTTTGTTTACTTTTTTTTTGTAATTGAAAGTAATTAATATATCCATTAATATACCAGTAAGTGATCGTTGCTGAAAGAGAACAATGGTTTCGGTTCTTGGACATAATTGTTGTCAAAACCGGCATATAAATGTCTATAACACGCTGTCGTTATGATCAACTTGTTTTAAAACTTTTTACTGTTAGACCCAGATCCAAGCAGGGTATAAAACAATATTTAGCTGAGGACGGTCATTTGATGGTGATTCATAAACACATGCTTATATTTATGACAACGTAGGACTCGTAATAGGTTTTAAAGAAAAGGTGTTGTTGGCTTTATTTACATCGACATGCAACAGTATGTACCGCGCAGGTGTGTGGTGACAACAGTGGTTCGCAATGTCAGTTTAAAGAAATCTCAAAACAAGTAGTTATAGAGGAATATGAATAACGCCTAAGGAAGAGAACATATGGATGTCAACTTCTTTATAATGGGGAACACAACGTTTCGGAGTATATGCTTACTCCTTCATCAGGTGAATGAATGCCACGAGGCATTGTGTTCCTCATAATAAAAACGTTGACATCCATATATTCTCTTCCTTTAGTGAATCACTTCTAAATGCCTTTCAAAGACCTGATGAATAACACTGCATATTCGAAACAAGGGATGCAACATTGTTGTTACGGATTGTTTCACCAGCATCACGTATTTGAAACATGTATTCTGTAACGGTGCTTATGTCGCTTCAATACAAATGCTACATCCCTCCAAATATGACGTGACTGTGAGGGACGAGACATCGATCGCGAACCCGCAATAACCAAACGTCAAAGACATCAACATTAAACATAAATTTATTCATAAGCATTACATAAATAACATGTATAGATAATCTCTGCTATAAATAACACTCTCATTTAAAGTGTAAATAAAGGTATGACACAAATCGGAATTTCCCCAAAGGTTATTTAAAACAATAATTCCTGTGATATTGTTGAGGCCAGGCATTTCTGATTCGGATAAGCGTTGTTTATTTTTTATTACTTGGTTTACGGATCCTCCGACCATAAATTTCAGAAATGTGCAATGAAATAAAAATAATTTTATATTCCCGAGATATATTTCACTAAAACCCTTAAATAGTGTCGAGAGCATAGGCAACTTCAAGACAGCTAACGTGTGACAGTGCAATAATTACAACCGTTGCATACTGGTTCCGGAATTATTTTCTTTAATAGTTCTGGTCATACATTAGTTTGTTAAAAATCTAGTCCGACCAGACAATGCAGTGATTATTATTATGAAACATTCGACGTCGTCAGCGTTCGATAATAGTTGTGTTCAAACTCAGACCTAATTTACCTTACCTTTCTCTTACAGTCAGCATAGGCCTATTTACAAAAATTGTAATGACCAATTTAAAAAATATCTTTTCTTCAATTACATAATTATAATGTCTTTATTGACCACCGACCCAGTGTTTTTAAAAGAGAAATCCTTAAACCATGTAATAAACTATCAAAGGCCTAAATGAAGTCTTGAATGAAACCGCCATTGCTATGTGATGTTTCTGATCAGCGCCTCCAGTGTAATGAATGGCTGTTGTATGCAGGTGATGAGCACCAGTGCCAGCATGGTGGCCATCACGAGTATAGGGACATACAGCAGCCACTGAAACACAAAATAGTATCCGACACAATCACAACTGTCCAATATATATAGGTACATATGGGTCAGTAAGTGAGTTTGCACTCAGTAAGTGAGTTTGGCATGAAGTGTTTGTCTGTTTTATAGCGGCGTGACGGTTTAATGTGGGAGATAGGTCCAAAGTGTTGTAGAGCGATCGTAAATGATTACTGAAAATCGCTTGCATGTGTATGAGGCTGACATTCCAAGGATGGTTATAGGTTGGGTGATTTTGATTCAATTTTGCACAACGTCTTGGGCCTCTTTGCCATAAGTGACACTAATAGAGTTTTTGGATGGACAAAAACAATTTACAGTTTAACTTTACGGCTTAATAACCTCAGAAGCATCTTCAGCACACATACCAGGCCGAATGGTGAGAAATGGATGAGACTGCGAGAGGTGTCACGCACAAGCATGATGACCAGCGGATGGAGGAGGTAGATCCCGAAGGTGATGCGGCACAGAGGGAAGAAGTAGTTCCAGGACAGGAATGTGTTGATAAAACCTGGAACAAAAGCAGGAAATGACAAGTGACATTACATGTCATAAGTGGATCCATGTGTACCTTTCTCGCAATGTGTTAAGGAGAAATTCGGAATGAGTGTGTTTTACCATAAATGATATTTCTTTTAACAGTATTTGCGTTACATCACAATGTGTCAGCTTAATGAGAAATCCGAAAATGACAATGGGCATGGCTATATAATGTTTGTCGAAACCACGGAGCATGGGAATGTCGCTGACAAACAAAAGATCACAAATCGGCGAGAATCTTGGATTCGAACACACGACAATCGGATCTTTGCAGCTAAGGCACTCGACCCTACATAGCTACAAGTTTGAACCTTTGACATTTTTTTCAGAGTATTGCAGAATTGTTGTTAAATACGTGGACCGTTATCATTAATTGTGTTTCATTCGGCAACAACGAACGGAGGTACAAACCATGGTGGATATTAAGTGAGTGAGTAAGTATGGTTTTGCGCCGCTTTTAGCAATATTCCAGCAATATCACGACGGGGGACACCAGAAATGGGCTTTACACATTGTACCCACGTCGGGAATCGAACCCGTGTTTTGGGTGGGACGAGCGAACGCTTTAACCACTAGGCTACCCGACCGCCCTGGTGGGTATTACGGTGGTTTTGAAACTTGGCTAGATGTTCAGAATAGTTGACGTACCTCCTTGCCCCACAGCGCAGGCAAATATAACCCAGGATAATGCCAGTCCCCAGGCAGGGCGAGCAAGTGCTTCATAGACCCCCGCTTCTATGGCAGTAAATCTCCTCCCGCCGACTCTGTTCTCTAGGTACGTTATATAGATCACTAAAGCCATCGTGCAAAACGACATTAGCCAGCCAAGTAGCATTGGAATCTGGAAAGATATCGCAACTACAGAATGTATGTCATTACATCACGAGGAATAGGCTTATAAGTGTTTATGAAGTGGCCATGGAAATGGTTTTGACACTTTTAATTACGTAAACCTATGACATCTTTATGTTGATTAGAAGTTTAGCACAGTTTCTATGTAATAACCTTTCTGAGATGAGTCCTTCGGCCCACTTTGTTTAAGATATACCCCAGCATCATCCCGATAGCAAATACGCCCACCCGGCAGTAGGGCTTGGCGTACACATCGGAGAAGTACCCGCTGTCCATTCTGAAATCAAATCAAGTCATCAAACTAAAACTGTTATTTGCATTTTTCACAATTTTTGATAAAGTTGAAACGGTCACCATTAAACTAGTGGCTCAAAGGAACTCTTTATGTTCTGCTATGTTATTGCCTGCATTGTGTTTGCCGAGACCGAGAGTTTATTTCAGTAAGACGGAATGAAGATTGGCTTTTGATGTTGTTGTTTGTTTGTTTGTTTGTTTGTTTGTTTGTTGTTTAGCGCCGCACTCAGCAATAGTCCAGCTATATGACGGCGGTCTGTACATAATCGTGCCTGGACCAGACAATCCAGTGATTGACATCATGAGCATCGATACACGCAATTGGGATCGATGAAAAGCATCAACAAGCATCGACCACCCGATCCCGTTAGTCGCCTCTCACGACGAGCATATTCGCCGACAAGCACGGGTTGCTGAAGACCTATTCTACCCCGGATCTTCACGGGTCTGAGATTGGCTGCTGATTATCTTCTTTCAAAGAACATTACTTGTTTGTTTTGTTTGTTGCTTAACGCTGTTATGATGAAAAATCTAGTCTGTCCAGAAAATCCAGTGAATGATTTAATGAATAACGATCAACGCCGTCGGAGTACTGTGACACGTAATGAACCACATCACCGAGTCCGAACACCCTGACCAGTGGTCCCTGGGGACCTACTCTAACACCGCAAACACTGTTAACAATGTATACAAGAATAAAACTATGAACACCGGTAGGCATGTTCCATGTGAGCGTGATCCATGTCAGATGAGTGAGTGAGAGAGTTTGGTTTAACGCCGCTTTTAACAATATTACAGTTATATCGCGGCGTGTCAGCTTTATGTAGGAGGAAAGCCCATAGTGATCAGATCTCAGACGTTTACCACTTCGGTGAAACCCACGATCAAGGCACGGTGCTGACAAACCTGGAAACATAATCGGGGCGAACCGGAATTCGAACCCACAATCACAGGTTTCTGGCGTGCCCAAGGGACGCAACTCTGCAAAACGAATCGGGGCGCCTCAGACGACTGGACCACCTGTGCCCCCGTCCCATGTCGGATGACATACGGCAGATCAACTACATTGTATATGAGTGAGTGAGTGAGTATGGTTTTACGCCGCTTTTAGCAATATCCCAGCAATATCACGACGGGGCACACCAGAAATGGGCTTCACAACATTGTATATGAAGTAAAAGGGATCGCAAAGGCAACGCTGTTACAATCCTCAATGATGGTGACCAGCGTCAGTAAATTCTAATAATCCAAATGGAATGCTGATATACCGTCCTACCTTAGCATATTGCCGTTGATCTTGTTATTCAGGATGCCAACAGATACCAGCTGTGTGGCTACGAGCAGACCAAGCAGGACAAAACCAAGGGGAGGTAACCTGGAATCATACTAGACTTTAAGAAGAAAGTATACCTCAGCAGCTTTATCATACATTAAGTGGAACCTTTGTCATGATCATGAATAAGTACTTCGTTTATATGTGAGGTATCAATGAACTACATTCCTAACACACCAGTTGAAATAATTTAGAACAAGGGTAGATGTTTCTTGAAGAACCATACATACTACTCAAAACAAGTTAGAGAATACCCGGCTCTGGCATGACAGATTAATAGAGTAATATGAAGGCTTTAGGTGTTCTTACACTTCTTTTGAGTAGTATATATGTACATGTACGTTTCGAGTCAAGAGCAGATTTAAGAGGGGAAAACAATAATGTAAAACGCAATACTGTGCCACCTCATTTTATTTGAAATTGCACAGTGGCCCATATATGTATTTTTGTTTGGCTCAGCTGCCGTGATCCGAAAGTAGAAGGTTCGGATCCAGATCCGTCTCTGTTTTTGTCCTTGGTATAAAAGTATCAGTACCAAGGTCACGCTTATGGTCTTGACTTACTTGTAAACGTCTACGATCAGCGTCACTTAAACATTCCTCCTTCACTGTAGTGTGACTTTCGGCTCAGGCAGGTTATGTATGTGTGATAATATGGAGTCATACCTGACCAGTGGGATGAGGATGAGTGGAGAGATGAGGTAGAACTGCGTGTCATTCACCAAGAAGAATGTCCAGCTCATGCACTGGAACATCAGCATGGTGATGGACAAATTGATTAACATGAATGATCTCTTACAAAACTCCTAGGTAAAATATAAACTACAAAAACTGCAAGAAATAAAGATTGACACCGTGACACATTCCTGTGCTTATTAATATCTTCATTTTGTGGTTAGCATCATATGATGGGGTATCCTTTCAAGGATAATCTATTCAATATGCAGCACTTCTGTAACTAACCAGGAACAGAAAATGAAACCTTATATTAATATCATATATTAATATTTGTATTCATATCAAAAGAACAGTATGATTGTAAAAGTGTTTCACCATTTTAACTGACCCCTTGAAGTTACGGGAGAGAAATGGTCTTCAGCAACCCATGCTTGCCGTACAAGGCGACTATGCTTGTCGTAAGAGACGACTAACAGGATCGGGTGGTCAGGCTCGCTGACTTGGTTGATGCATGTTTTCTTATCCCAACTGCGTGGATTGATGCTCAGTATGTCAATCATGGTTGTCGGATTCAGACTTGATTATTTACAGACCGCCATCATATAGCTGGAATATTGCTGAGTGTGGTGGTAAACAACAAACAAACAAACCATTTCATCTGCCATATAGAAGTTGCTGAAGAAGAATACGTTGGCCCACCAATGGTCCCTGCACTGGTTGACGGCGGTTGTGGCATACTTCCAGCGAGGTCCGTGGCCCATGTAGGGCATGAGGTTGGCAAATATCATCAACACCACCAGGTAACACGGTAATATTCTATACGACACAAATAAAGTAAACAGCTTTATGGACGAACTGAACAAGCAGGGTGCCGTTGGACAAAGCGATCTCAGCGCTAAGGTGATCGTTACTCCCATACCTTAACAGAGACTTACGACAGTCGTAGCGCTAAGGTTGTATTGAACAACGGCACCCAGGTGTATGTTTATACCCCCGCAAAAATAGGAATTGAGAATACAGAAATATTTGATTGACATGCGTTTTCGTCCAGCGTTTCTTCTCAAACTGCCTATTTTTAAAATGAGGAACGCTAATGGAAAAACATTATGAACATATTTTAGAATATATTAGAATAATCAGTTGTATTCTCCATAAACAACTATTGGATAGCAGAAGAAGAATAGAGAAACTTTGGAGCACAAATACATTGAATTTATAATTTATATTGGATCTATTAACGTGTTTATTTTGTTGAATATTGTGCATTTTTGAGTGAGTGAGTATCGTTTTACGCCCCTTATGGCAATATTCAAGCAATTTAAAGACGGGGAAAAACCAGAAATGGGCTTACACATTATACTCACTCACTCAACCACTCACTCAACCACTCATTCAGACATTCACTCAACCACTCCCTCAACCAGTCAATCACGTACTCAACCACTCACTCAACCACTCAACCACTTACTCAACCACTCACTCAACCACTCACTCAACCACTCACCCAACCACTCACTCAACCACTCACTCAACCACTCACTCACCCACTCACACAACCACTCACACAACCACCCATCCACTTGCTCACTTACTCACCTCAACAAACGATGGAGATAGAACAGCAGGAGAAACTTTGGAGTCACCCTAAACTCTTTGCCCGCCGACTTCTTCTTCTCCACAGTCCGGAGAAAATTGTAGGACAGCAACGTTCCACTGTTGGAAACAGAGAGGGGCAAACCCGCGATTGGTTGAGATAAATATAGTGGCATTTGAAAATATAGTGACACCGGGTGTCATTAGACGATTACACATTATTCGAGAGTTTCGCTTTTATGGATGGGCTGCTCCTACATTCCAACAGTGACTGTGTACCCTCAGTGCTTTGATCAATGCATCATTGTATCAGTGATGTGTGAGATGTCTGGTATTTACTTTAAGAAATGTCAAGTGTTTATTGAGTCTTCCAGAATCAACTTCTCTTCTACATTCCAACTATTTTCCTTACATTGCCATACAGATAATAACCATATGGCTGCTATTGAGTGAGTGAGTTGGGTTTAATGCTGCTTTTACAGTAATATCGCGGCGTGTCAGCTTAATGTGGGAGGAAAGCCAGAAGTGATGCAAGTGTCAGACGTTTACCACTTCGGTGAAACCCACGAGCACGGGTATGGTGCTGGCATACCTAGAAACATAATCGGGGTTCGAACCCACAATCATAGGTTTCTGGCGTACCCAAGGGACGCAACTCTGCACAGCGAATCGCGGCGCCTCAGACGACTGGGCCACCCGTGCCCCCGACTGTTATTGAAAGCCAAAAGTTTCTTAGTGAATGATCAAACAGCAGGCGTAAACCACTTTGATCAACGCCATATAGGATAAAACAACTATATAAAACTCTGAACAGCGACCTTGCTAAGTGTTGCATGAAATGCAATGTATTGACGTTTGTAAAGTTTGTTCAATAATGCGCGGTATCAATTTTGGATGCGCACTACATGTGTTATACATACGCGTCCGAAGTATGAGTTCACCTCACCTGAGTATGAAGAAGGAGTCTGAAGCAAATGTACTGTTGATTATTGCTTGAAACAATGGACACTCAGCCAATTCCACGAGAGTGACGCTGTTTTCTGAAAGCAAGTTTGACTTGTTACTTCATTGCTGTGTGTTCAAGTATTCAGCATATTTCCATCGACGAATGGCTGACGATAATAGGTTTGATTGCACACCATGACATGAATATGAGTCACGCTTTGAAACCGTTTCATGGCAATAGTTATATGATCCCGTCTTGTCCCAACTTAACACTTATAAAACGATATCAATGTCATATTTAAATTTCCAAAAGGTAAATGGAAGCTAAAGATATGTAAAATAAAACTGGTACTAGAATGTTTGTTTGTTGTTTAACGCCGCACTCAGCAATGTCGCAGCTGTATGACGGAGGTCTGTAAGTAATCGAATCTGGAACAGACAATCCCGTGATTGACATCATGAACATCGATCCACGTAATTAGGATACGATGACATGCATCAACCAAGTCAGCGAACCTGACCACCCGATCCCGTTAGTCGTCTCTTACGACACGCATAGCCGCCTTTTACGGCAAGTATGGGTCGTTGAAGACCTATTCTACCCCGGAATCTTCACTGGTCTGGTACTTGAATGAAATATGAATGAAGCACTGGTATATACAGGACCAAGTTTCCATGCATGATACGACGGTTTGAATCGTTTGTACTGTGTTATGGGGTAATTTAACATACAATAAGATACATTCCGTTGCATTTAGGAAACAAAATTATAGTTACCAATCACGTCTGGTGTTCTGTGTATGAAGCTGATGGTGTTGCCAAAGACGACCCAGCAGATGGAGAGGAACCGGATGCCACTGAGAAAGAGTAGCTGGTCTGGATTGCCCCCTCCCAGAACTGACGCCAGGTTATTTGGGAGGGAGAAGCACAGGAGGATATCAGTGACCACTCCACCTGAAAAAAACACAAAGTAGTACTATGCACGTAGAAAACTTCTAACAAATATATATGAGACGAACATATTGAAATTATGCACTTTAAAATGGCTAACCAATGTGCATGATCACATCCGTCATGAGTGAGTGAGTTGGGCCCCATCAAATCTGGACTGGCAAATCACGTTTGTCGGATTGTATTTGCCAAAATACCTCTTCAGTTTGGTATATGATTTCAAAACGGTCGTTTTGAAATATGACAGACGAGTATTTGGAAATATCTCAGTGTCGTAGTTGTTACCAATAGTGGGACTTATTGCATATAATTTATTCAAAGATTGATAGACATAGTTATGAATCAACAAACTAACTATGGCCTTCAGCCATATCTCAGCAAAATCACGGCAGGGTGTTTAAGAAATGTCTTTTACACTTTGTGCCCATGTGGGGAATCAAACCCGAGAATTGGCGTGACGCGGGACGCTTTAACTCACTGAGCTACCCCACCGCTCCAAACATCATTTGAGTGTTTCATCAATACTAAAGACCGCCTCCGTGGTCTAGTGGTAGAGTGTCCGCCCGGAGAGCGGAAGGTCCGGGGTTCGATCATACCAAAAGACGTTAAAAGATGGTTCTTGTTGTTACCCTGTCTGGCGCTCGGCATTAAGGGGCTAAAACAAGGACTGGTCGGCACGGAGTCAGTATACGCTGTCTAAGTGGGGTATTCGTGTTAAACTGCGGCATGGTATCTCAGTGAGCTTGCACTATAAATCGGCATCAGTCCGGACTAGTACAAACAGCCACACAAACACACACACGTAGATGCACGTCGCTATATAAGTGCAATAATCCTGGTCGCGACGTTAAACCCCATTTCACCTCACCTTCACCTCAATACTAAAACTTACCTATTTGTCGTGTACCTGGTGTCAAACTGACTTGTTGGCTTGGGTCAAATTTATCGTTCTGTCGGGAATCCATTCTGACTGGTAAAGACAGCAAACCGATTGGCTGAAGCACGCCATTCTGAAGTGTGCAAACATATGGTGAAATATATGCTAGTATAATCATGCTTCAGGTAGAAGTTATTTTAGAGGACACATTTTTTTTCATTTATACTTGGAAAAAGCATATGAATTGCCACCACGAGTACAACCATCGCCAGGACATGATCGTTTTCGGGACCGCCTCCGTGGTCTAGTGGATCGATCTTCTACCTAGGAAGTGGAAGGTTCGATCCCCGGCCGCGTCATACCAAAAGATGGCGCAAGGCATTAAGGAGATAAAACAAGGACTGATCGGCTCGGAGTCAGTATTCTGTATCCATATTATAAAGGGGGCATGGTATGTCACTAGGCTAGCACTATAAAATCTGTATGAGTAGGGACTAGTGCAAGCAGCCACGCACACGCACGCACACACGTATATGCACGTCGCTATATTAATGCAATGATCTTGAATGCGACGTGAAACCCCCTTTTGCTTCACCTCGTACTCGCTGAGATGCCCATACCAATATTTCGGTTGGGATGACAACTAAACGACGAGGTCAATGGTTTTTAACTTTAACTCGCACATGAACGTTAACGAACAATAATGGGACCGTAATTCAGTCGAACGACAGTCGTTATTGACGGTTAAGGCCAAAATACGCCTCAATATATTCTACGACCGTCAAAGTAAGAAATTCCACGAAACTGACAACATTTTCAAAATGTGACAAAACCAACCTGGAGTTTGACCTCTTTCCGTTTCCCTAAGGGTCTGTCCCCTTTCTGTGTAATCTGAACCATTGCCTGATTCTGCAGTCTTGCAGAAGGTGATTTCTCCACACCTATCGCGACGTCGTTGACGTGATCTGTAGAAGGTGTTGGTGTCGTGCAGTGGTCCGACACAATCTTCATACTGTCTTGTCTATAGAGGGACCCCGCCCATATAGACTTGGAGTAGAGTTTGCATCTATTGTAGAATACACTGTGTTGGCGGGCTACAGTGAAGACGTTCCCCCTTCTGCTAAAGTAGCCGACACACGGTGCTGAGTTTAGTTGTCCTGCCGGGGTTTTCAGTCGTACAATGACAGTAACCATGCTACCAAGGAACACCAAGCAGGCAAATGCAGCCAGCAAGCATCTGGAACAATCACACAAACAAAGTAGTGGTTTGAGGATGTAAAGTTGGTAATATCAGTATTAGCAGGTACAAATAGATAAACTAGGTACTGCTACTACTATTACTACTTCTACTATTATTATTACCACTATTACTTCTACTCCTACTACAACTATTTCTACTACTACTATCAACACTACTACTACTATTTTTACTACTACTACTACTACTACTACTACTACTACTACTACTACTACTACTATTACTACTATTACTACCACAACTACTACCACTACCACAACTGCTACTGCGGCTACTACCACAACAACTACTACTACTATTGCTACTACATCCACTACTGCTACTACTATTGCTACTACTACTAGCATCACTACTACTATTGCGACTACTACTACCACTACTACTACTACAATTGCATCTACTATTGTTACTACTAGTACTATTACTACTACCACTACTGCTACTACTACTATTGCTACCACAACACTACTACCACTTTTGCTGCTACTACTACCATCACTACTACTACTGTTACTATTGCTACTATTACAACCACTACTGGGAGCACGGGTCCCCCAGTCGTCTAAGGCGCCCCGATTCGCTGTGCAGAGCTGCGTCCCTTGGGCACGCCAGAAACCTATGATTGTGGTTTCGAATCCCGGTTCGCCCCGATTCTGTTTCTATGTTTGTCAGCATCATACTCGTTACTACTACTACTACTACTACTACTACTACTACTACTACTACTACTACTACAACTACCACTACCACCGGTCAGGGAAGTTATAATTGTTGAACTATTTATTTTTAGAATTGACTTCAATATGTTTTTGCAAATACATAGGCTGGCGTATCTTGGGTCATTAAAGTTACCGCAATTCGCTGTGGTAGAGGGTTAAACTTCCGGATTCGCCCTGATTTGTTTAAAGGTTTATCAGCACCATGCCTCATCAAAGTGGTAATCGTCTTCAGGCTTTACTCGTACATCCAGCTGAGACATCTGATATATTTGAAATACCGTTCAAACTCATTTACTCTGGGGTAGTGTTGTTAGATATATATGCTGTAACATAAACGACTCATTAATTGTTATTTGAAGAGGACAATCTCATCTACTCAATGGGTAAAAGATACCACAGACTTAATTACCAAAAACAGGAAATTAAGTATCACTATCCTTCCCAGAGTTCCATCCGACCGGCAGCCAGCCAGCATAGTACATCTGCCACAGGCCAGCGCCATGTGACGATTCGTCACATCTTTCACCGTCCATTCAAGATATTGCATATGCTTTTCATCCGTTTCATGTTTGACAAGTCTACACATTTTCATAAACAAATGTCAAAGAATGGTTACGGTTTATTTATAAAAGTATGCTAATACGTAAAAATCTACTTGTTTTTGCGTAGTTATCCTTTGTTTACATTGGTTGTACGGCTCCACGTGCTGTCATCGAAGCCCAACGGAGAGCTAGCGATACGGTCACTTTGGTGCATAAATATACATTGTCATGCAACTCACTGTCGCAGTTGTAGTAGCATATCTATCACCATATCTATCATGCAAAACAATGTGTTAAGCGCCCCCAAATACTTGCATTTGTCCGTTCTATACTGATTTCTGAAAAAGCGCGTTTGTTTACAAACAAGAGATAAGTCCGGTCACGTGATATGCAAATTAGCCTGTGGCAGTAGTGTTATGCTGAGTCACCACTGCGCCGGAGTGTGATTCAGTATACTCACTGAGATCTTTATTCTATGTTCTTCTATTATATTCTGTGTTATCTCAAAAAGACTTAGTCCCAACTTGGTGAGTTCAGTTACTTCACTCGGGACAGCTAATCCGTAATTTATCGTAGCCGTAAGTTGGAAAGCGTACACTGAGAAGATGGCAGCAGCATCATAGGCTAGTTGCATGTCCTTCTGGCATCTGATGTTTGACAGGGAGATGTTGGCTTCTTGTTGTCCTGCGTCTGTATACAACAGATGGGAAATAACAGAAAAGTTAGTGTCCTATTTGAAAAGTGTCTGATTGTAACATGGATGAACTATGGACATTTATATGGACATTCATTTGATCACTATCCTCAGAATATGCTCAAATGATATTACTTTCTTTACTATCTATCTTCATCTTCATGGATGAACTATGGACATTTATATGGACATTCATTTGATCACTATCCTCAGAATATGCTCAAATGATATTAATTTCTTCACTATCTATCTTCATCTCTAATTGAAATTCTGCACTGTCAGTTAGTCATACAATTAAGACAACGACATTAACATAAGAAACAGGGATATACCCTTACATACTTTCGAATCGTAAATGTGAAAAGTGGCAATAAAGAAGCATTGTGGGGCATTACCATCTAAAGAATATTTAAAATGTTAAATACATATTTATGGTTTATACAGCGAAACATCAAATTTACTAAAGGACACGCGTGGATTTCTCATTTAATAATATTTAACAGACTTAACATCATGATACGATGGCTGGTCAAAATGTTCTAAGCCCGATTAACTTCAAATATGTGCCATAACACAGTGAACTAGTCAAAGCAGTACATTGTTTCAGTAGTTAACTGGAAGTGTATTTGGTCTGTTGAGGCCGTTTGTATATTAGTGACAGACAGTTGAACGTAATAGGGGCCCAAATGGACACAGAAATGGAAACGAACGAGTATCGAGCAGTCATCAAGTTTTTGACTTTAGAGAAAAGTACTCCCCATGAAATTCATGTCACAAGTGTAAGGGGAGAAGTGCCCTCGCTATTCCACTGTTAAACGTTGGGTAGCTATGTTTAAGGCTGGGAGAACAAGCCGTGATGATGACCCTCACCATCCATCAATGAAGATTCAATCAAGGAGACAGAAAGATTTATTCAGATAGACGTAATACCATTGCTGAACTTGAGGAAGACACAGGTCTAAGCCATAGATCCATTGAAACTATTAATCATGAACATTTACGGATGAATATGCTCGTTGGGGGCCAACGTTTCGAAATCCTGATCATAAGGAAAAAGGAAATGAATGACATTGCCAGACAAAATTTAGACCTAACTGTGGAGGATTTCGTTAAATTAAAAAAGAGATTAGTAACGGGTGATGAAACATGGGTATACCACTATGATCCCGAGTCAAAACGTCAATCTATGGAATGGTACCATTCCACTTCTCCGGCACCAAAGAAATTCAAGTCTTCAAGATCAGTAACGAAAGTTATGGCCAATATATTCTGGGAGGCAAAGGGTGTGATCCTTGTTGATTACTGAGAAAGTCAAAAGACGATTACCCTTGCCTACTATGCTGATTTGCTTCCTCGCCTCAGAGATTCCATCAAAGAAAAGCGGCGAGGAATGCTGACTGCTGGAGTTCTACTACTTCATGACAATGCCTCTTCTCACACCTCCCCACTTGCAAAGGCTGCTGTGCAACAATGTGGGTTCGAAAACCTTCCACACCCTCCATACTCGCCAGACCTGGCACAAAGTGATTTTCACCTGTTTCCTAAACTGAAAGAACCCCTTCGTGGAAAACGCTATGACGACAACGATGACCTCAAACCTGCCGTGAATGATTTTTTCAGGGTGGCTTCAGAAAACTTCGTCCTGACTGGAAGTGAAAAGCTTTACTGTCGAGAAGTGTATAAAAAAGCAGGCAGATTGAAAACTAAAATTATAAGCACTTTCACAAGTTTGTTTGTTAGGCTTAGAACTTTTGGACCAGCCCTTGTAGGTCCAATATCACCATACAGAATAGACACCTAAATAATTATCAGAATCTCTTTTTAAATTTGATGTAAAATTCTGACACTGACAAAATTGTTCCTTATCATACATTGTCTTTGTAATACCTGAGAAAGACCTACATGTATTGATGATGGTTGTGATGTCATCCTCATCACATCCAGAAGGGATGCAGATGTCCACAGTCAGGTGCGGCAGGTGCACCGGGAACGGCAGGTGCTGCGGGAGACAATATGTCAAAATCAGTTACCGTATTATTGTTGTATAAGTTATATGTTTGTGTTTTTCATAATATGTCATATATCTGCTTTGGATCTTAGTGTTCACGATTGTATTGTACTTTCCTCTTCAAACAAAATAAAGACAAAATTATCACCTGATGGGAAATATAATTGTCCAGCAATATGGGAGAATCAAACGACAGGGAACAATATTGAGCAATTATCTCTCTCGTTACGTCACTTCCTGTATCAAGTGACGTCATCGTGTGACGTATATTACTGCACTGGTCATAGTCTCCCTGCCAAGTGACTGATCCTTGGAGAAAACCAGATCCTTGACGACCAGTCGCATCAAACACTGCAACACAAGAATCACGTGAGAGACATAAGTCCCAGAAGCTGATTGAAGACACGAGTGCAGTTAGCCACATTCAGATAACTATAGTATCTGGGAGTATCGAGATATTCTTTCAACGTTAAGGCATATACGAATAAAAAAATTAATTTAAATTATTACATCACCATGGCCAGTGAACTGCATAATTCTGTGTTCCTACAGACTAGCAGGTACGCCAAGCCAAAATTGAAGGGGGATTTGCACGAAGGTAAATCGAAAGATTCGTGGCCTCACATAGAAAATATTTCAGAATGTTTCACTTCAATACACTTGGTCCATCGTTGCTTTAGCTTTGTTAATTCAGTACTATGTCTTCATCTTGGTTCCAAAAGAGGCCTCAATTACTTAGTTACTTTTTACAACTCTCCCGTGCAGGGGTGATTTGACTTAGGGAAGACAAAACAGCCAAAGGTTTTGGGTCAGGAAGGTTAGGAGAATGGGGACGTAATTCTAAGCCCAACTCTGCAGCAGCCACTGTCAAATGTGACTTCTTCACTGGTGCATTGTCCAGAAGCAGAAGCACACCTGAACGGAGTGTTCCTGAATGTTAGTCAAGGATAGCCTGTCTCAAATGATCCTTGCGGCATAGTATTGCCCATCGATAGATGTTCTCTTTACAGACAGTCAGCCATGATTATCAGCTTATTGTCCAAGAAAACGGGAGCCATGACTTGCAAACTGACGCCCTCCGCATGTACTTCTTTGTTGGGGTAAGGCCAGATGTTTCCACGTTTTGCCCTGACGTTTTAATACTGGATCAAATAAACGCCACAAAACCCTTCTCATTGTCATAAGAAATCTCTACTAAAAGCAGATCCGTTTTATGATCAAGACTATATCATAATCATGTGTTTATGAATCACTATCAAATAGTAAAATGTTCACCTGAACGAAGACGGGAACATCATTTTCTATGGCATAAGACAAATAAGGAATTTCATGTGATATCATTTTGGTCCTTGATGCGCCAAATTTATGAATTTCCGTCACTTGTCAATCTACCACATAGATATTACAAAGTGATGGACTAAGGTCTCATCCTGGGTGAGAATTAACATAAAAAACGTCTGTCGCCATGACCATGGGTTGATCAGCATCCATTTGAGTTTGACACTTGGCAGCGTTAGGACATCCAGGCTCACCATCATCTTTTGAGCTTCTTCGCTAAAACTCATCAGACCATTTCCTTACAGTTGAATATGAAAGGCTGTCATCTTCAAGATTTCTTATGAATATGGAAAGGGCTTTGTCGCTTTTATTTTCATATCTTGGTAAATTACCTCAATTTCGCAGTTTCTCTAACCTGTGTCAAATTTTGTAGTAGGATTCTCGGAAACAGCCAATGTGTTATTTGGTGTTATTATGTCTTCCAGGACATGACAATCTTCATGACGTGACAATCTACACAAAGCAATACATTTGAGACCACGAACATTCCTATTCCCACCGTAGATGTTAACATTCGACTTACTTCTGACGGCCCAGTCCTTCCTACTTTGAAGGTCCACGGCGTAGTGGTTTAGTTCCACCTTGCAGTCGTCAGTGACGTTGTAGCTGTAGATGTCCACGCCGGCCTGGATTATTCCCGCCCATACAAGAGGGAAAAACACAGGTAAACCCAAATAGTTAAATGACGATATGGTCGCCTGGACGATGTCATTGAAATGAGTCCAGTCGGGGACATCTTTTGTTGACAGATGGACATCTTTTGACGTTTGGGGGACATGAGGCAAATGTCCTTGACCTTGTGACCTTGTCTTATTTATGTGACCTTCAAGTGATCCGATCTGAGTTGGATTATTCAAAGATGAGTCTGTCTGTTCTGTGTCATTAAAATTTAACTTTTGGCCTGTTGACTGTGCAGTTAAATGTACACTGGATGTGGCCATCAGTAGAACGAACACTAAATTGTGTCCCATGGCTGTGATTGAATGTGTTTACATAATATCCTCTGTGAAGCACATTGCCTTGTCCCTTGGTGATGAGATCAACGTCGTGATTTAAAATCGGTATATTTCGTTCACACAATTAATAGGATAATATATCCGAACTGTTGCGTAGCTGAAAAATACAAGCAGGAAATGAGGATATAAGGGTATAATAATTTAGGTTAAATCATGAATTGTCCCCAAATTGTTCTTACCAATGCATTTTGGTTCACCAGGGTTGCGTTTGTTGGTGGTTTGTTTGTTTTTTAATGCGGCACTCAGCAATATTGAAACTATATGACGGCGGTCTGTAAATAATCGACCAGACAATACAGTGACGGACAGCATGAGCATTGATCTACGCAATTCGGATACGATGACATATGTATCAACCAAGTCAGTGAGCCTGACCACCCGGTCGTCGCCTTTTACGGAAAGCATGGTTTCTGATCAAGAACAATTCTAATCGGATCTTCATCGTCATTGCGTGGATCGATGCTCGTGATATCAATCACTGGATTGTCTGGTCCAGACTCGATTCTTCACAGACCGCCGTCATATAACTGGAATATTGCTGAGTGTGGCGTAAAACAACAAACCAACCAAATCCCATATTAAGCTGACACGCCGTGATATAACTGGAAAACTGTTGAGAAAGGCAACTCAATTCACTCACTCACACTTAATCATCATGGGGGTAAAGAGAATGAAGGAGGCATGCACGTATACGGAATTTCATAATTCAAAGCTAACTGTTTCTATTAGACTTACTCAAGCCACAGCAAATATCTACGTTGCCTCACGCCATGTATGGTCTGCAACAAGCCGCTGTGCACAGGGACGTCATGGAGTGTGATCACGTAGTGAAGGCACGTTCAGTGTATTCACAGTTGAATTGCACTATAAAGTTATTTTACATCACATAGAGGACACTGATGCTTGTTCAAGTGTATATAGGACGGTGGGGTAGCCAAGCGGATACATTGTTTGCTCGTCACGCCGAAGACCTGCATCACTTCGGGCTTTCCTCCCACATTAAGCTGACATACACGCCACGATATAGTGAGTGAGTGAGTGAGTATGGTTTTACACCGCTTTTTAGCAATATTCCAGCAATATCACAGCGGGTGACACCAGAAATGGGCTTCACACATTGTACACATGTCGGGAATCGAACCCGGGTCTTCGGCGTGACTATTGAACGCTTTAACCACTAGGCTACCCGACCGCCCCCGCCGCGATATAACGGGAAAAGCGGCGCAAAACCCAACTCACTCACTCATTAACAGGTTTTCTGCTTAACCTACTACGACTTGCATGTCAATATTGAATCGTCTACCTCCCGTTCTAATTAATTGTCACACACACGTAGATTGATATGACACACGAATAATATTTGTTTGTTTGTTTCTTTGTTGTTTAACGCCGCACTCTACAATATTCAAGCTATATGACGGCGAGTCTGGACCAGACAATACAGTGATTGACATCATGAGCATCGATCCACGCAAATGGGATTGATGACATGTATCAACCAAGTCAGCGAGCCTGACCACCCGATCCCGTTAGTCGCCTTTTACGACAAGCATAGTCGCCTTTTACGGCAAGTATGGGTTGCTGAAGACCTATTCTACCCCGGAATCTTCACGGGTCCACACATAATAACTAAAATAAAGGTAATGAGGTTTACAGTTTTTATGTGAGGTTTAAATTTAATCCTGAATAAACGTTACATAAGTTTTATCACCTGTTCTCCAGATGTTTATCCTCTCAGTACACTAGCAACACTTTATTACCCACATGAACTCAAACTCATTGCGGATTAGGGATAAACAGACTAACGGGATCGGGTGGTCAGGCTAATACCATCTCTCCAGGACAAGTGTTGAAATCAGGTACAAATCAATCATCTTATCAATACCCGATTACTGTAGTATACTTTGGAATAATTGCACCAAAGATCAAGAATTGATACTTAAAAGACTAATCCTGGATGCTCTAGGAGCCACATGTGGTGCAACCTGGTGCACGAGCCAAGAGCAATCGTATACAGAACAAATCTGAAACCTTTATCGCTCAGGCGCAAATATCAATCTTTATTCTACAAATGGCAAATAATTCAGCACCCTTATCCCTGACCATGCATGTTAACGCTCATAGTGATTGCAGCCTTAGAAACTCTTCAGACCTCATGCAACTAGATGTAAGACTGAACATTATGCAAAACCCTTTATACCTAATTCTAGAAAATTATGGAATAATCTATCTAAAGAAAATAAATCAGTTGAACCAGATTCTGTCACATTATTCACTGCCGCCTCAATCTCGGATGTAGTAACCAAAACGTAAATAAATGGGACTTATTATTAACGACAGCCCAAGTTGATCTTGTGGTCACTACTATGAAGACACGCAACGATACTTCCTTGTTTGTCGCAATTATGATAAAATCAGAAGCAATTTATAATACTATATTGTATATAACGAAATTACGTGTAATACAGCACTCTGCGGATGTGAGGTAGGGTTAAACTTAATTAATACTCAAAACACTCACATATAGTATATTTGTATCTTGTGTACAACAAGTGGTATTTGTATTACGTATAATGCCATCATTCTGTCAAAATCGGACACTGTTGATTATGCTTGATGACTGACGGCCAAGATATACCTTGTGTAATTATTACGTATGCACCTTGACGTTCTTCTGTTACTTGATTATCATATAGGGAGAGGTATTTCAACATGTGTTGTCTTGTTTACCGATCCCAATTATCAGTCGAAATAAAAATATAGACAGAGAAACTATAGCCAAGTCTTCATTGAACCAATTCATTTTTACACCAAATTAGTATTTACAAACTGTTGCAGAGATGAGTAATGATTAAATAGACATTATACCCGTGAAGATCCGGAGTAGAATAGGTCTTCAGCAACCCATGCATGCCGTAAAAGGCGACTACGCTTGTCGTACGAGGCGACTTACGGGATCGGGTGGTCAGGCTCGCTGACTTGGTTGATGCATGTCATCGTGTCCCAATTGCGCGGATCGATGCTCATGATATTAATTACTGGATCGTCTGTTCCAGATTCGATTATTTACAGACCGCAGTCACATAGCTGGAATATTACTGAGAGTAATATTACCCCCACACACACACACACACACCTCCCACCCCACCCTGCCCACCCACACCCGCTATTGAATGAAGAATGTCGAATATAAGATAAGTATACACGATATAAGTCTATACTTATGTTCTATACGTACCTTAGCTCGGAATCTTCCCATATGTACAATAGTCAACACCACATTTCTCATGAGTATGTGCATTCCTTGTCAGCATCCCTAGCTTGTGTCTTCACAGTCTGACGTAAGACTGGTTCCGACAGTGCTGAGACCGACGCCTTGTACATGTAATGCTCGGTGTGGTTTAAGTGATATATGGTAGATATCCCCCTGAAGATGTTTCCCGTGAAGTCTGATGAAGGAAGTCGTAAGGAGGGATGAAACAGATTCATACCTGCTCTCACCGATGGACCCTATGACCAGCAACATGTAATGATTGAACTGAGGGAGTTGTAGGAAAGTATCACTTGATTGCGTTATTCTCGTAACGTTTCTTTACTGCTTTGAACAACGCATGTGGTTAGTTTAGAAAATTATTTAAAATGTACTTCCCCTTGAAAATAATTCAAATTGTATTTTAACCGCATTGTCCTGACAGTGACCGTGTATTGCATACCGATATCGTCACGTTCTTCCGGGATAGTTTTTGTTTCTTTGTTTGTTGTTTAACGCTGCACTTAGGCCAGGTTCACACAGTGCCGATTATATGGTTAACGTTTAAGATCATCAGACAGCGCTACGACACGAAAAGTGAAAAAGTCCGATTGCTATCCTCAATGATCTGGAATGTCCTATCATTGTCTGAACGCAGTATATACCGTATATGTTCGTAACAGAGTCCTACGGATCGGGAAAGGTTCAGAGAAGTCGGCCAAGCACTCCCGACGGTATGGTGCGTCCCGTCACATTCGGGAAACTCAGCCGATTGTGTCTAGTCGGATTACAATCGTGATGTCGTGAAAGATTCTGTTATATCGGATCAAAATCGTAACACTGTCCTGTGTTGTCTAGACGGTGTCCTGTGGATCGGGACGCTGTCGTGATGAACGGGCATGAATTGTTCGTTGCCGTTTCTTGTCGATTGAGTCCAGATTGCGTCCAGATCTTGCCGAATGCGAACCGTCTTTGTCGGTTCACTCTCCGGTCACTGTCGGATCTCTGTCGGATCGCATTCGGGACAATCGGGACGCTGTCGGGAGAGATTTGGTCGTTTTTAACCATGCGGAAGATACAAATCGGATGAGATTCGGATTGAGAACGGGCGAATCGGGATGAATTCTGGTGGAAACGGCTGGGTCGGGACGCTTCCTGAGCAATATCTGATTGTTTCTGAACTTCCCGCCACGAATCACAGGATCTTGATCAGACTTTTGACAAATTTTAATCGTGAATAGTCCTGTCAAGGACGGCAGTGAAAATCCTGAATGTTTGACTGAGCCCTGAGCAATATTCTGTTCATTCAGTAAACATGCCAGTAAATAATCGAGTCTGAATCCAATGACTGATCTAATGAGCAATGTTTCGAGTGAGTCAATGAATTGGGTTCAACGCCGTTTTAACCAGTATTCCAGTTGCTAGTGTATCACGGCGTGACAGTTTAATGTGGGGGGAAAGGCCAAAGTGATGCAGGTCTTAGACGTTCACTACTTTGATGAAACCCACGACCACGGGTATGTTGCTGCCAAATCTAGAAACATTATCGGGGCGAACCGGATTTCGAATCCATCAGGTAAGGACATGTATGTCATATTCTATAGCTTTTCAAGTGTACATTTTTAAACATCATAATAGTGATTAACGTCTGTGCTAAAACGAAAATTAAATTCAGTGTATGCAGAGTAGCATTCTATAGTTTGACTAAATCTATTTTGAACATCTGTTGTTCCTTTAAGTGCTGAAGTGGTCGCCTTCTGAATCAGCAGTTTCGGCTGACCTGTCGCCCTTTTGGAGTGTGTGTGAGAAGGTTACACATATCTATTGTGAGTTTCAGTATTTATAAGATTTCTGTCTTCGTATTAATATAATATATTTTTATATTTTTTTAAATAGATAGTATTTCTGTAGCTGCTCTGTTTATATACGTTCGAGTAGCTGACCGTGTCTCAGAAATAGAGTTAGTTTGGCCTTCGCTATGGCATCTCTTGGCTTTATGAGATCTATGACAGACAGCGGATCTAACTGCAGTTCTTGTTTTAGTCGAGGCCGGGCTGGGACATGGTCTTGACATTCCAGTAACAAGTGAGCGATGGATTCAGGTTGACTGCAAGATTGGCATACGTTGCCATAGTGCTTTTTGTGACCGAGTCTGAGGCGCAGGATGGCGACTTTAAATTTCAATCGTTTGAGTAAGAATGTGGGTTTTTGTGGATTTGGGTTTGAATTTTGTATACCCATATGCCGATCTTACTTTCGTCCCATGGGGTATGTCATTTTTGGGCTATGGAGGCTTTGATCTTGCTTTTGATCTCTAGTTTGTGGAAGGGAATAGGCTGTATTTCCATGTCCACTTTAGCTAGGGTGTCTGCTTTTCATATGCTTTTTCATATGCAGTTTTCTTTGCAAGAGACTCGGGAGCAGGTTTTGCACTTGGGTGGCTGGTTGCATGATGTTTTTGAATGGCCATAGAACATACGTATACAGTGTGTGCACTGTGTTGGCCTTTTCCTGGGTGTCCTTAGGCTTAGCTATATAGATTGAGGTGGTCGGGGACTGACGGACCTAATAATGTGTAACTACTCGTGTGGTGGTGGCGCCCATTGATTTGATCCTGAACGCGGATAGGATTGTTGGTTTGGTTTTCTTTGGGGTTTGACAAACAAGTTGCTAGATCTAGTCATCGGTGTTTTTTGGCAAGGTGTACTGCGCACCTGACGACACAAAGCCACCTTGGGGTATCCTATTTTAGTTTGATTTCATGAATGCTTTTGGGCATTTCAGTTGATTCTGTAAGATTGTCCCCGACCACAAATTAGCCTCTTCTACACTTATTTTTTCTAATAATACTTTTGTGCTTCAGCTCTTTAGCACTATCTTCAGCTGTTAGGGTTTTATTAATATCTTGGGAGGAGTCTGCTCTGAAGACTACTTCCCATTTGTTTTGTGATTTTCGACTCTGACGAGACCATTCGTGGACTTTTCTTTTCGATTTTATCCTTGGGTGGGGGTAATGGGGCTGTTTTGTTTAGGCATGCATGCCTTGAGCCCAGAGGGCTCTATCATCAATGTTTTCTTTGTTTTTAGTTCCGGGGAACGTGGGGATGTGCGACAGATGGATGGTGGTGGTTCAGACAATTACATCAAAGTAATAAGTCCACAGCGCTGGAAAGACAAGTTTCTGGGCACGGTTCATGGCTGGTTGTAGTCTCCTGATGTCAATAGCTTCTTGTAGTTTTCAAAGACGCCAGCTGTTGTTGGTTGACTGAATATATTTGCTCTCTGCTCCCTGGCATTCATTCACCGGATGAAGGAGTAAGCATATACTCCGAAACGTTGTTTTCATCATAATAAAGAAGTAGACATCCATATATTCTCTTCCCTATTTTCACCATGTTCAAAAATGTCTTTAATCAATTTCGATTTATGCATTGACCATTCATGCAAATGCATATGTTGTTCATTATAGTTTTTAGCTTAACATTACATAGTTTTCTGCACACTCTTGCTGGTAGTAGGGTTTCGAACAGTTTCATAATCCTCAATTTTGACTGCACACACCTTCAAGGCGGTTTTTTATCTTTCGGGCATAATATACCGCATTTATGCCGAACCAATGTTTCGAGAAACATTCCCTGTGTAACGCCGTACACGTAAATAAACTGTCTCTCTTTTTTCTGTCACTTAAATTAAGGTGAATAATATTCCCAGTAACTATTTTTGTTTATGTCTTGAAACTTCATGATTAATTTTCAATTATTTTATATACAGTACTATATTAAGTCGTTGTATGCTATATTTACATTGTCAACATTCCGTCTGAAAATTTTACTTCAAACCATTCAAAACGATACTTTCACGTCTCGTTAACATAATTTTACGTCCGCTTCTATTGCTATTTACAATGCACTCCCCTCGTAAGATTCGTTGCGCAAATTGTGTATCGATATGTAATGAGTATTTCTCGGTGTCTATGACTTATGCAGACTATCTCGTTGCATTGGTTTAAACAAGCAACTTGGAAAAATGGGAACGCAGACCTAAAATGATAGAACTTCATTTTCGTGTCGATCAGGTTCTACAAACGCGATGCACTGTGTAATTGTTATTTCTAAATCGCTTATCTTGTATTTGTAAATATACTCAGTATATAAGACAAATTACTTGCAAGCTTTTATTGCAACCATCATCTTATTAGAAATGTTAGTTTCTAACTGGAGATTTATTCTGCTTTTTAAAGTTGTTATTGTTAGAACATTACGTCCCTTTCCAAGATGGCGGGAAATAGGAAATTTTGCGAATACTCATGTTTCCGTTAGATTCAAACTACTGTTATTGGTTTTATCAACAAAGTCAATGCCCGGAAAATGAAGTTCAGAGGAAAGATTGTTGATATTGGATGTATTCAACACTTCACAAGTGCGTATTTCTGGTGATTTCAGGACCGTATGAACACGGAAACATTAGGCGTAATGACTAAATTTACCACGAGACTCTTTCCTAAGTTCTTGCTTCAATCTTAGGTGATCTACTATTTGGTGGAAAGGATGCTACTTCTTTCCCTCGCTTCTATGTCACTGTCTCGTCGATTGGGATTACACAGGGGTCTATCTTTTTCGATCCAGGGGACGCTTTGCAATAATGTCGATGTCTGAGCCTGACTACCTGTGGCACGCTTCACTCACCTAATTTCATTGCATATGCTCAGAAACAATCATAAATGGGGATTCAGTGTTCGATTGTAGAAAATTGATCACTATTTCTCTGAACTTGATTGTTATTCTTACCGGGATAGAAATGTCAGCAATTATTGGATTAGTTAAACTGATTGAGCCATAGTTTAATTCATCATCACCCAGGAGTCTCAATTTAAATTATTTATGTCTATATCAAATTTGTATGAGTTCAGGAAAATCCTTCTTACACCACTTAGTATTCCTTCTCAGAATATGTCTGAGATAGGATGATCTTAGCGACCGTAACTCCAATACTTTGATATAGACTTACGACAGTCGTAGCGCTGCGATCATTTTGTGGAACGTGTCCCACTGGTGTACTGGTTTGCGTAAAATTAACAAAAGCTTAACCGTACGATGAGTCAAATTAGTATCGTAATAGATTACCATGATTACGGTAACTAATAATGTCCACAAATAGTTAAAACTGTATAGTTTGTCATAATTATGATAAAATCTATCAAAAGACGCATACAACTAGCCTAGATCTAACGGCACAACAAAACGGTCAGTGTCGGGTATTTGCAAAACATGAATTACAGTATTGAAACGAAAGTAGGACCAGCTGTCCCTATGTTTCCCAACACACTGACTGACGATTTGCATTGAGGTGATTTCATATATTAGCTGATTAGATTCGGCTTGACTTGTTTTTTAACCATGTTAACTGATTAAGCGGAAACAATACTGACAACTAGAGGCCCCAAATTTTACTGACTACTGACTTTTAACACCCTCCACCAGGACCTTCATTACAGCTCATTATGAGAACCACATCGAAGGACTAAGATTATTCTATGCAATAATGAGAAATGCAGGCAAATCAGCTACAATATTTAATTTAATTGATTCATGGTTTCAGAGGTTGTTGGTACTGTGTCCAAGCTAATCAAGACTTGTGTTCTACGAATCACCCCCGACAAGGTCTACTTCATTCTCTCGGAGCAAGCTGTCAATGGAGGGATTCAGATCTGGTGTGAACTGCCCCAGGTAGGGTGTCAAATCAACTGTCACCTGAATGGGACAGTTTTGGTCTCTGTTGGTAGTGGGGTAGCCTCATGGTTAAAGCGTACTTGCTTGTCTCTAATTTCATGAAAGTGGTGTACATGACTGGCATGTATTTAGATTCATCAATATTTCTCAGCATTACGTCACATGGCAGATACTGCCCCGTGAAGATCCGTAGTAGAATAGGTCTTCAGCAACCCATGCGTGCCGTAAAGGCAACTATGCTTGTCGTAAGAGGCGACTAACATGATCCGGTGGTCAGGCTCACTGACTTGATTGATGCATGTCATCGCATCCCAGTTGCGTGGATCGATGCTCATGATATCAATCACTGAATTGACAGGTCCAGACTCGATTGTTTACAGACCGCCGTCATATATCTGGAATATTGCTGTGTGCGGCGTTAAACAACGAACAAACATAAACTATGTCATTCTTTTCACAATTCTGTTACATATCACTCACAATGAGGGGTTAAACCATGAAAGATCTATTTTTTTTCTCTCTTTTCCAGGGTAATTTCTTTGATGAATTTGCAATGGATGGCTTGTCTGCAGATGCAAACGAGATCTACCTGGAACTAACTCCTGAGAACTTGCTCCGTGCTATGAAAACTGCACAGACTGCAAAGTGGGTCAAGATAAAACTGACCAAGAAGCACAGTCCCTGTCTGACAGTGGAAGTCGATCTGGTGAGAATAACCATGTCTACCATGAGGTAGCCAAATGACTACCTTGAAAAATATCTTGTGGCGACTAAATTCTATTGCTACACATATGTAGACACAAAAATAAACATGTCTGCTACTAATAATTCCTCCTAAAGACAACAATGAACCGAAATACATTAATATTAATGTAATTGGTATTTTATTTTTGTTGATACAGTGTTGATAGTTTATTGGATAAGCAAGGATATAACTATATAATCTAGTAACATAAATTGCATCATCGTTTGAGTCACAAATAACAAAACTCAAGTACAATTTCCACTAATATACAATTTTGATAAAAGATAATTTCAAAGGCTTTTGGCTACCAACACTTTTGACTTGACTTCTATTTTTACCACTGGCTACCTGGAAAAAAATACTTGTGCCATATGGCTACTTGGTAAACATTTACACTTTGAGGCCTGGGTTTATTTCATGATAAAACATTGTTCTATCACGACGTCATTTCTGGAGATTCGAATACGCGCTCAGAAGTTGATGACATCAGTATATTGGACAACCTTAATTATGTGAGGGAAGTGTCTAGTGAGTTGTTCCCCATAGATGTATCTGGGCAGTGTCGCAATGGCCGGACAATTGCTTTCAAAAGTGAAAGTCCCACACCCCCCCCCCCCCCCCCACCCAAATATTTGCTCTGAAGTATTATTGGAATATATTCATCGTAGATATTTCATCCGTCTGGAAGTAGACAGAAATACTTCTACACAGCATGAAAGCTTATGTCCCAGTTCCAAGGAGAGTAGGGACGGTTGGGTAGCCCAGTGGTTAAAGCGTTCGCTCGTCACGCCGAAGACCTCGGTTCAATTTCCGACATGGGTACAATGTGTGAAGCCCATTTCTGGTGTACCCGACGTGATATCGCTGGATTATTGCTAAAAGTGGCGTAAAACCACACTCACTCACCCCAAGGAGAGTTGCAATAGAGTGTTGCATTTCATAGAAAAAACAATTTGAGTTAAAAAAAATAAGTGTGCACAACCACTCCTGGTATTGATCTCTCTGTGTTATGTTCTGTGTCTGAAAACAAGGATATTTATTAGATCTCTTCAAGTATATGGTGTTTGTCCAGGGACTCTTATTCCACTGACCGTATCAATTACGACTTTATCTTTTCTTTCAGCCTACAATCGGATCTCACCAGCGGCTAGTGACACATGACATCCCGGTTCATGTTGTTCCCCGGAGACACTGGCAGGACTTCGACGAACCAGAGATGCCCCAGTTTGATGTGAGCGATATAAGTGAAAGAAATGACATATTCATTTTAGCAGCTCGGTTATGGTGAAGCTGTTGTGCAAGGGGAGGCAACTCTAGACCAAGTCATGTTTTGTTCACTCTTGCAAAAGTACATGACACATCACAAGGCCCATTTCTTTTTCAAGTTTGCTTGCTCCACTGATTTGAATGGTTTTATTATTCTGTTCTGGTTCATCTGGGAAGACTATCAATTAGGGCAAGGAAACTAACCAACAAAATTATCCAAATTTGATTTTCCTTGAGAATTGATTAACATTCTTAAAATATATATGAATAGAACTGGATGATGATTATCATTTTATCATTATACCTATTATTTGTCTAAACAAACTGTGGATTGATCTGAAAAGTATGTAGAATTGCCGTCCTATTCAGTTCTGTATGCCAGATATGGAATGGGCAAACAGACGTATGTTAAGGATGACCCAAGAATGTGTGGAGTAGGCCTTAGGATATGTGTCATGCACTTGGGGACAGCTTCTACCTTGAGCATGTTGAGTCTGGTGTCATGTGAGTGTACAGTTATGGTCATAATTTTTTATTAAAACCCTTTAAACAACTGGTTACATCATCAGGATTAACAAAGTTTAGGAATTAGAAGAAAAAAACCATCCAAATTAACAAATTTGAGTACTAACAAGTCATTTTTATCAACTGGTTTCCTTTGTATACCAGTGGACATTTGTTGCATTAATTGCATGGAAGGTAGAGTTTCTGGTCTAACAGGGTTTCACTGAGGGCATTGTGGGGTCAGAATAGGTACCCAGTGTCCACTGTTCAATCTCATTAAAATCAGATCTTAGTTCTCGCTACAGCTGAACAAAGATCTGAGGACATCCCATTACAGGTCACGTCAGACCGACCTTTCTCGAATTTTGACCGACCAATGGAATGACTGCCAAGAAGTCGACATTAGCCAATCAGAAGGCAGCTTTCTTGTGCCTTACGGCACTAGTTTCAAACTGACTACTACGCTTTGAAATATATTTGACAAATTCTCGATAACAAATTTGAAAACGGAACATACGAACATATTGGAATGGCTAATAGATTGTATGGATTCAGTCATAAAGCCCGTAACTGTCGTTTGGAATACCCCGTTTTAAATCCTCCGAGGTTGCATGATCAGCAATCCCATCCCGACTGTCATTTTCATGATCTGGTAAGTGGCACTCTGATTGGTCGGTTGAAAGCTCGTTCTGACGTGACCTGTACTGGGATGTCCTCAGATCTTTGTTTAGCGGTAAGATTGGTCCACTGTTTGTCATAATAGTCGATAAGTGAGGCCCTGGTGTTACAGTTTGTGACATGTTTGATTTTGTGTCATCATATCCTGATGCCATTAAACCTTGTTCATGATGGCATGCCTGGTCCAGACTTAATTATGTATAGGACGCTAACATAAAGTCAGTCACTAACACGTACACATCAGGAGAAATATTGTACAATGTACAGGAAAGTATTTCATTTCTGGTTTGAGAAAAAGGATGATAAATGCAAACTTGAGACCCTTTGGGTATGACATATTGTAAGTTAAGATATAAGTTCCCTGTTTACATGAGGCAGACAATTCTTGTCCTCACAACGCAAAATATCCAACATACATAAAACCTTAACAGGCCCTGCTAAGATTCCAGGGTAGACCAGGTACCAAGTAGCCCAAGTCTCTGATAGGTGATTGTGAACATGGGTCCAGTGGTCTAATGCGCTGCAATTCGCCATGCAGAGTTGCATCCTTTGGGCATTCCAGAAACGCATGATCGTGGGTTCAAATCCTGGTTTGCCCTGAATGTGTTTCTAGGTCTGTTCACACCATACCTGTGTTCGTATTAAACGTCTAAAACCTGCATCAGTTCGGGTCTTCCCCCCACATTAAGCTGACATTAAGTTGACATGAAGCTGACACTCACTCACGCATGCACATACACACAAACTCACTAAAACCTCACTCATACTTGTTGCATGTCCTTTTCAGGTGAGTATCGCCATGCCTCCCATCAAGTTGTTGAGGAATGTTGTCGACAAGATGAAAAACCTCAGTAATTCAATGGTGAGTTGCGTCACAATAAGTTGCCCATTGTACGATCTTTAACAAGTTATCATCCCACACAACCACCAGAATTCAAAGTGAAGACCTAATTCATACAGTCTCCTAATGATGAACTGATGATGACAACGCCCTCTCTAGGCATCTGGAGTACCACTTAATTTTTCTTGGCATCCATTTTAAGGACTATTGAGTCCTATTAGTGTCAGGGATAATTCTAGGGTGGGGTATTGTGCTTTTAGCCCCTAAATTTGAAAAAAGGCCCACATTTTCAAATACAGTGGGGCATTTCAACATTGTGCTGTATGGGCAAGTCTGGGCATACATCTGGAATACATGAAATGTTTACATGAAAGGCCCATGTCAGAACATTCCTAGAGTAAACCCTGTAGTGTGGCACAAGTAAATTACAGTGAGACTTTCACATAGAATACATGATCGTGCATGCTCACTAGCTTCGAGCTAAATATTTAATTGATATATCACTCTTGGGAGATATATTTCAAGAATGAAATATTGGCATCTGATAAACATTTCATGGCATCTTCCATACTGCACTGTGGCATCCGGAATACCGCTGAACAGGGCACAGTCTACAGAGTACCAATATGGGGATGGCGCCCTCTGTAGTTTGAATGACGCTGATATTGATGTTCTGATTGGTCATGTTTCAGGTTCTATCAGCCAATCAGAATGGAGAGATGAAGCTGAGTGTGGAGACGGATATGGTTTCAATCAGCACACACTTCCAGGACTTACATAACCCCACATGGAGTAGGTCACACCTCTTTTGTATTCTATGGCCTAGGACTTTGGGATAACTTCTGCTTGGGCAGGTCAAAACAAATAAATAAAAACAAATTTTTGAAGACTTATCCTATTTCATTGTGTGCATTTCCCTTTTCTTTCTCGATCCTTGTGTGCAAATGAGCCTCCAACTTGATTCAAGCATAAAAAAACAATGCATCCCAACACATCCAAGCCGTATCCATGGCTACTGTCAATAGGCTGTTCCCTGGCTTGTTTCCCACCTATTTGTTCACATAACATCCCAAGCTGGAGACATTTTTGAGTTTGGAGAGAATGTGTAATTTCTCTTGAGTCTATGAAATCAGCCCTTGCTTTATTATGGAGTCGTTATAAACGCAATAACATGGTAATTGCAAGAAGACATTTTCTACACTTGATCCTCATCATGCCCATCATTAAAATTGAACGTTGTGTTCGTTATTTGTAGCTTGATATTTTTTCTTATCAATCAGAGACAGCAGTCAGACAAATATTTCTAGTGTTGACTGGACATGCTTGGTTCGTTAAGAGTGTTGGGTAGAAGGTGTCCCAGCATCCCAGTGCTGGAGGTGTCTACATTAGCCTTAGGACCTTAGCTGGTCATAAAAGGCGACATAATGGATCGGGTGGTCAGGCTCAGTGACTTCGTTCATGGTGTGTCAACATACTCGGATTGCATGGATCATTGCTCTGGATTTTCTGGTCCAGATCTTGATGATTTACAGGCTACTGTCACATAGCTCACACAAACAAACAAGATGCTTATGTCATACAGCCATGCTGATCCAGGGCATCTGTTTGGGATGAATGAGTCTGTGAGAATCCTATGATGGTTATTTTTGATTTGCTGACAAGATACCATGTTTTTACGGTAACCAATATAAAGAAAAAAGTTGTATTTCCAGGATAGAAAACGAGTTTGTAAATTGGGCACCCTTGAGGAGTGTCTTAAAAAACACACAACCACTTAAAGAAAATATTCTTTCAGAATAACCCTTTTGGGACCTTGGTAAAATATTGCCTACTGCAGCATTAAACAAGACAAACAAACATTTTGAAGTGTGGTGATAGTCAGCACTTGTTGATGTGTGATTGTTAAACTCTTTACATGGCTACAAAACATACTTATGTCACTGACGATGAAGAGCATATCATGTAGCCCTGTGTGTGCTTGTTCCAGGAAGAAATGCCGATAATGCTTCTCAGATAAGTCAGCACGATAAGAACGAGAAAGAGTTTTCTGAAGCAAAAATCGACATTCGCCGATTTGCCCAGTTCCTGTCAGGACAGCAAGTGAACCCAACTAGAGTCATATGCAGTGAGTTTCACGTACTGTTTATTTGAAGTGTAAATAATTTGTTTAATAAGTGTTTAAGTGCTTCATTCTTGGACTCTTTTAGAAGTCTTATATACTATATACTCCTATATACTCCTCAAACGAAGTTCAAGAACACCAGATTCTTTCATGGCATGACATATTAACTGCAGAAACATGAAAGAATCAGGTGTTCTTTAACTTCTTTTGAATACTATGCTTCATTCGATAATCCTTTTATTTGTTTTCCTGCCTCATTTATTAATACGTTTCTTCACTTAAATTTTTATTTATCCTGTCTCACATATTACATTTTGTCTCATTTTTCGAACCACACGTGGAAACCTTGATCACGAACGCAACCATTCGCAACTTGAAACACCACATCTGAAAGCAGCCTGTCCTTGATGCACGAGGCACGGGTGGCCCAGTTGTCTAAGGTGCCGTGATTCACAGTTGAGTCCCTTCGGCATGCCAGAAACCTATGATTGTGGGTTCGAATCCCGGTTCGCCCCGATCATGTTTCTAGGTTTGTCAGCCAATGTCCCAACATCATCGGAGTTACAGCACAGGCACATGATGTTAGAATAGACATAAACCTATTGAGTCTTAAAATTTTATGTTGTCCCACTTTTGAGTAAATACCACTTATTTATACATTTAAATTAAAATAAGAGATGTTTACTCTACAGTGGGTCTTCATCAAATTTCAAACACAGGTTTTATCTCCTAATTAACAGATGTTAGTGGTCGAATTGACCTCCCTCCATACTGACTGTCGGAATATGTGAGACATAATAAGTAAAAATGAGTTAATTTTACATTTAACTTAGTATATATTACTTATCCTGTCTCACATGATATATTGCCCGTCTCTTGGGCCTCATGTGGCATGGACGGGCTGCAATCGGGTGGGGTGTTTCAAGTTGTGAACGGTTGTGTTCATCATGTTCATGAGCAAAGTTTCTACCTTTTGTTTGAAAAAAATAGACAATGCCATATGTGAGACAAGATAAGTGATAAATGAGTAAAAATAATGCATAGTCTGCAGTTGAATCACTGGTCTACTAATATTGTTGGCAGTTTAATTTCAACGCCTGTTAACATGGTTAACCCTTGCTATTTTGTTCTATTTTAAAATTTCAAAACAATTGTTCTGTTTGGACATGATTTCATCCACGTTTGCTCTGTGACACTGCCTGCATCATTTGTCTTTGCTGTGAAATTGTCATTCATTGGCACATCAGAAACAACAACACATGAAACCATTATGTTCCTACTTCCCCTTGGAAGCAGACATGTTTGGATTTATAATTAAATAGGCCCTCAGTCTGGACAAGAGACTGTGCTCAACAGTTAGGTGACTGGAGTATATCCGGGTTAGAGTATGTCTTCAGCAACCCTTGCTTGTCGCAAATGGCGACTATACCTGTTGTAAGAGGCAACTAACGGGATCGGGTGGTCAGGATCACTGACTTGGTTGGTGCATGTCATCGTATCCCAATCACGTGGATCGATGCTCATAATATCAATCACTGCTTTGTTTGGTCCAGACTCGATTACTTACAGACCGCCGGCATATAGCTAGAATATTGCTGAGTGCTGCGTTAAACAACAAACAAACCAAACCAGTCAACAGTCTGGTACTGATGTTGCAATTAGGGCCATATGTGAAAATGCGTCCTTGGCCATCATAAAGTGCTCAGGTTCCCCAGTCAATTAAGCACAACAATTTCCTGTGTTGCATCTTATCGTCCTGATTATGTTTATAAATTCGTCACCCTAACATTCTCGTGGGTTTCACAAAAGTGGTTCATGTCTGAGTTCTGCATCAATTTGGGCTTTCCTCCCACATCCAGCCATGATGTTACTGAAATACTGTTAAAAGCAGCATTAAACGAAATTCACTCACTCACTTCCTATTTGAAGCTTAATGAATATGTATTGGTGAGTATGATCAAATGCCGCTTGGAACAGTAATTCAGTTGGTGTGCAAGCTTAAGATATTGTAGAAGTTGGGTTTAATGTTGACCCTCAAATACAATAATTCAGTATTATTTCCCAAAGTTAATGGCATATTTCTATTTCACAGATATAGTTGACAAGAGGATAGTTCACATCTTCATGATGCATGAAGACGTGTCACTTCAGTACTTTATGCCAGCCATCAGCTCATAAGTTGTACCATTGAGACCTGTGTGTTGTCTTCAACATGTGCTGGTGTAGAGGCTGATCTACCATCAGATACCAGTGTTGCCTTCTACCATTACTTGAGAAGGCATGAAACTCTACCATCGTACACCTGTGTTGCCTTCTACCATTACTTGAGAAGGCATGAAACTCAACCATCGGACACCTGTGTTGTCTGCCACCATTACTTACGTAGAAGGCAAGAAACTCTACCATCGGACAACGCTGTTGCCTGCCACCATTACTTGTGTAGAAGGCATGAAACTCTACCATCGGACATCTGTGTTGTCTGCCACCATTACTTGTGTAGAAGGCATGAAACTCTACCATCGGACACCTGTGTTGTCTGCCACCATTACTTGTGTAGAAGGCATGAAACTCTACCATCGGACACATGTGTTGTCTGCCACCATTACTTGTGTAGAAGGCAAGAAACTCTACCATCGGACACCTGTGTTGTCTGCCACCATTACTTGTGTAGAAGGCATGAAACTCTACCATCGGACACCTGTGTTGTCTGCCACCATTACTTGTGTAGAAGGCATGAAACTCTACCATCGGACACCTGTGTTGTCTGCCACCATTACTTGTGTAGAAGGCATGAAACTCTACCATCGGACACCTGTGTTGTCTGCCACCATTACTTGTGTAAAAGGCATGAAACTCTACCATCGGACACCTGTGTTGTCTGCCACCATTACTTGTGTAGAAGGCATGAAACTCTACCATCGGACACCTGTGTTGTCTGCCACCATTACTTGTGTAGAAGGCGAGAAACTCTACCATCGGACACCTTTGTTGTCTGCCACCATTACTTGTGTAGAAGGCATGAAACTCTACCATCGGACACCTTTTGTTGTCTGCCACCATTACTTGTGTAGAAGACGAGAAACTCTACCATCGGACACCTTTGTTGTCTGCCACCATTACTTGTGTAGAAGGCGAGAAACTCTACCATCAGACACCTGTGTTGTCTGCCACCATTACTTACGTAGAAGGCAAGAAACTCTACCATCGGACAACGCTGTTGCCTGACACCATTACTTGTGTAGAAGGCAAGAAACTCTACCATCGGACAACGCTGTTGCCTGGCACCATTACTTGTGTAGAAGGAAAGAGACTCTACCATCAGACACCTGTGTTGTCTGCCACCATTACTTGTGTAGAAGGAAAGAGACTCTACCATCAGACACCTGTGTTGTCTGCCACCATTACTTGTGTAGAAAGCGAGAAACTCTACCATCGGACACCTGTGTTGTCTGCCACCATTACTTGTGTAGAAGCGAGAAACTCTACCATCGGACACCTGTGTTGTCTGCCACTATTACTTGTCCAGAAGGCAAAAAGTATGATGTGAACCGACCAGGTTACTGATAATGGACAAATGAGGAATATGGTTCCTTCCTATGATTGTGACAATGTTATTATTTATGCATTATGTTGAAATAAATTATTTTCTTATCAGTCTTGTTTTGAATAATGTGGCTGAGATAATTCTTCATTAAGGTTTAACAAAATAAAAGAATTGGTTCTCAGGCAATGGCTTTTGAAAATATAGCGTGGGTAGGCGTTTTTGTTGTTGTTCAAACTATTATGTAACCAAGTAAACAGTTGGTACAATCAACCTGGGAAAAGGCCATGAGACAAACACTCTCTGCTTATGACACATTGTTCGACATACAGTACACACATACCTTTGAATTTGTAAATCATCATGTCTAGTGATCACATTGTTTTTAAGTATTGTAGCATTTCACTGCCAGTTGGTGTATTTAAGACGCAGAATATTGAAGGATTATTTTTTTAAAAATGAAAATATAAACGAAACGTGCTGCGGACTTAATGATGATGCCTGAGAACAAGGACTAAGGTGTGACACACTCACTTGTTTTATAGTGGCTTATATGAATGTATGTTGAAACAAGGGAGACAACTTTTGACACTTCACTGGTAATTTGTATGGTCTGTAAATATGTTTGGTGAAGGGGATTTTACTCAGAATTGTCCATCCTTTCCAGTCCTTGTGAGATGTCATAATTCCTTCGCGGCTTTCTTTATGTTTCTACTGGTCGTTCATGTTGTTTGCTGCTGGGCCAATATCTGAATGAAGCTCTGGCCATCCCTACCTAAAGAAATAAACATCTGCAAATATGAAAAGACATGGTCATAATACTTATCTCCTAACAGTAATTCTTTCATGATCTGATACTTGTTCGTTGACAAAGTCTCAAAATCATCCTTTCTATATTTACAGAAATAAAAGCGATTGAAAATACGTGATTCGTTAATATCCAAACTTTATCAGAGTTTAGCAAGCTTCTGCTGTGCTAGCACTATGGAAAACCATCAACTATCAAGTTCTTCTTTGAGATGACAAACACTTTTCCCAAAACTGTATGAATGAGAAAATTTTCTGAAAAATCACAGTCAACCAAGGTGTTGTTTCACATAGATTTAAGTCTGTGCTAAGAGATTTTAGAAGGCTTGTCCCGTCTGGATATCCCACAAATCTAATTACTGGGTTGGTGGCCCTAGAGTTGCATCCCATAGGCTGTACGTTCCAGTCCATGCTTTACCCTGATCATGAACCTTGTTGGTCAGAGGTAGATGTCTGAGACCTGCATGCTTTCAAGCATTCCTCCGCTTTAAGCTGCCACACTGATAAAACTCAAATGCTTTTCACATCAGCCCACTAATAGTGTTAAACCCTTCTCTCTCACTTATTTATTCATTGCAACAGTGCGCCAGATTCCTGAGTGTGGGTTCGAATCCCAGTTCACACCAATTTTTAAACTCATTGCAACAATATTTTCAATTATGCATTTGATTTGGGCTGATGACTGTTTGTAGCATTGTGTTGATATCTCTTCATGTTATGCTACATCAAGCCAGTGGAAAAAAATGCACATGTTGCAGGTGTAGGATTTTTAGCTCACATTGACATCACAGTACATAGTCGTAAGAGGCGACTAACGGGATCGGGTGGACAGGCTCGCTGGCCGTCGTATCCTAGTTGCGTGGACCGTTGCTCATAATATCAATCACTGGATTGTCTGGCCCAGATTCGATTATTTACAGACCGCCGTCATATTGAATAATGTTGAGTGCGGCGTTAAACAAACAAACAAACAAACATCACTTTACATGGTAAAGTCGTAATCTACTGAACGTTGTGTTGTCACAAACACATTGCATATCTACATGTCCCCCGCTAAAAGTGCCTCCTTTACCGGGACTGTTTGGCATAACACTCTTCAGTACAAGATATGTTATGTCTATATTTGCTGTTATTTTTTCTTATTTGTGACTATATAGAAAATGCTTTTATGATACCTAGATATCAAAGAGTTTCCCAATATTTCGGGTTCTGATTTATCAGGGAATTCAGACATGCCACCCAGGTCCCTTTCCACAAAGCGTTAGTAGTGCTACGATAGTCGTAAGTCTATTTTAAAGTATGGGAATTTATCTACGATCGCTATGTGGAACAGAGCCTGGACTCATAAAAACGCTTTTGACGTCACATGAAAATCAAAATGATTCGTAAAGTCTTTCATTACAAATAAACGAAAGCCTATCAAATCAAAGTCACGGAAACAATTTTACGAGTCGTGAAACGTGTGACAGTTCTAGAAAAATTCCTAGCCTCAAATCGCTTTTAAAAACGCTTTGCAACAAATCCCATTTTGGCATACATTCCTTTTCGTTTTACAACGGAGGCTGGACAATATACTCATACATACCGTTCATTATGGATTCAACCTATCTCTTTTGTTAACCTTTTTCCGATATTACCCATTTCCATCGAAGTAATATTTCATATCCCTCATTTTACGACGAGGACCTGTGACAGCTGTCTGTTACGGTGCCGACGAATGGTTCAACGACTGAATCAGATATTGCGCCCTATTGTAATCTCTAGATTAATACCGATATACGGTTTTCAAAGGGACAATCTCAAATGCTATCTCCACAAATACCAATGCATGGTTATGAAACTGAAAACTGAGAGATAGTTGAGTTTTATGGAATTCAGAACGAACGGTGAGTTTTGTACCCGTGGGAACTCAAGGAAGACCATGAGCATCAGCCCACAGAGCTTGATATTTGGTGCCCTGTATACGTCGAGAAAACACGCACAATTGTTGATGTGGCGTAATAATCACTCTCACTCACTCACTCACACTAAAGACCCATGAAATCCGGGTTAGAATATTGGTCTTCAACAACTCATGCTTGTCGTAAGAGCCGACTAACGGAATCGTGTGGTCAGGCTCGGTTACTTGGTTGACGCACGTCATCGTATCTTAACTGCGTATATCGCTCATTATGTCAAACACTGGTTTTTCTGATCCGGACTCGAATATTAATAATATAATAATTTTGCTTCAGACTTTGGAAAAAAAAGAAATGGCACAAAAACTACATTGTTGAAAGATGTTTTTAAAAACAATAATATTTAGACTCCCATCTTTAATTTTTAAAAATATCTGGTTTTGCAACTGTAACTGAAAGAAAAATATCCAGACTCCATATAATATACCCAGAATGACAAATGGCGAGTTCCTAACATTGTTGTGTGTTATTGAGCCGAACCAAGCTAGATTAACTTTACTGTCAAGAAATTTGAAAAATCTGGTTTGCACTTTTAAATGCCACTCATGTATAATAACATATTGTTTAAATATTATTACCGGGGTTTCTTAATACTAATCCGTAATCTACTAAAACCGCAATGCAATCACAATATGCGTTTACATCGCCCTTAGATCCAGACATAAATGCTAAACAAATCGCTTAAAGTATGAGTCATCGTTCCTTAGGGAAATCTATTCTTTCTGTGCTAGTCCGCTTCAGTGATGATCTAAACTGGACGCAGTGCCAGGGCGTGGGCCTGAGCTCGAAAGGACTGACCACTTTGTGTATTGGTATGTGATATCCTCACCGCAAGCAGATGCTGTCATTTTGATCTTAAGGATCTAGTGGGCTTTTGTGGTTCTATACAATCAGCGAAGTACCATAGGCTCAATCCATGCTTAACCCGATACATAAGTTGTTGATTTGCTGTCTGATTGGAAGCCAATTGAAACGATCTTAGCGCTACGGTTATAATATATGTTGAAGTATGGGAGAAACTCTACAGTTTGTTGAAAGGGGTATGTGTTTGAATCCAGCACATTGCCGCCTGGGAGCTATGGGACACAACTCTGCACAGTACCTCCTGAGAATGCAGTTGAATATTCTTCGTTCATATATATAAGATTAAGGCGCGCGGGGGGGGGGGGGGGGGTGGGGGGGGGGGTGGGGATATCTACCTGACACTATTGGTGTAAGTACTGCGTAGTCATACAGATCCTGATACAAATATGTCCAATACAGCCCATGCAAGTCTAGATTGCTGAAGTATCAGTATCTGAAACTGAAGTGAGTCTATGGGCTCCTTAAATGATGTTTCTGTAAAAATAATCTGTTTTTATCCGTAGTATGATAATGATAATGAAGTCACCAAATCAACCATTAGACATGTATCTGTCACAACATATGAATTGGTAACACCGGTGCTTCAAATGACAGTGAAAATCTTTATATATTCAAATATGAGCGAGCGTTACCTGTCGCCAGTCAACAGTGTATTGCTTCATCTATCTGGAACTTGTTCATTCATGCGATTCGCTGTGCAGAGTTGCGTCCCTTGGGCACGCCAGAAACCTATGATTGTGGGTTCGAATCCCGGTTCGCCCCGATTATGTTTCTAGGTTTGTCAGCACCATACCCGTGCTCGTGGGTTTCACCGAAGGGGTAAACGTCTGAGACCTGCATCACTTAGGGCTTTCCTCCCACATTAAGTTGACACGCCGCGATATAACTGGAATACTGTTAAAAGCGGCGTTAAACCCAACTCACTCACTCACTCACTCGTACAGGTGGATATTTCCTATAAGGGGAGATTTGTTACGTATATTTTTCATGTACATGCATGTCAGCAGCTGAGCTGCATGTCTGTCCTATCACACATTCTTCATTTCGATACATCACCTTGGATTGCGTAACCTGGGTCATATGTAGAATGCGCATAATATATACGAGAAGTTCACACAGCTCTGTTTCAACCTTCAGATTAGGAGCTAAATGCGTAATGAACATTGTTGTATAAACTGTACAATACAACGTTGCATAAATGTTACGTGTAACATAAACCTGGACACTTGACAAGCAGTCATTTCTCAGTGTGGAACATTTACATTTCTTTATCAGCTATGTACGTATAACATTTTACGTTGTGTAAGGCTTATGAAACGGACAGAGACAGGCCCTGACCCAGAATAACTACTTGTTTCAAATATATCAGATAACGACACTGTACTGTGTTGTAATGCACCACAACCGGGGTTTGGATGGGAATGGGGAGGGGTGGTGATGGAGGACGAGACAGGCCCTGACCCAGAATAACTACTTTTTTCAAA